GTAGCAGGGGTAGGGGTCTGGGGACCATGCTTTCAGGGGACATCTAGGTCAACTGGCATAACAAAGTTTATTAAGAAAATGTTCTGCATCCTAATTTGGTGAGTGGCATCTGGGATCTTAAAAGCTTGCAAGCGGCCATCTAAGATGCATCAATTGGTCCCAACCACCTGGAGTAAAGGAGAATGAAGAGCATCCAAGTCATAAGGAAAGTATTAGCCCAAGAGACTGAAAAGGGCCACATAAACCAGAGACTTCTTCAGCCTGAGACCAGAAGAAGTAGATGGTGCCCCGCTACCACCAATGACTGCCCTGACAGGGAACACAACAGACAGTCCCTGATGGAGCAGGATAAAGGTGGGGTGCAGAAATCAAATTCTAGTAAGAAGGCCAGACTTAACGGTCTGAATGAGACTGGAAGAACCCCGGAAAGCATGGCCCCCGGATTCTCAATCAGCCCAGAGCAAAACAATTTCCGAGGCCAACTCTTCAGACAGGGATTGGACTGACTGTGGGACATAAAGTGATACTTGTGAGGAGTGTGCCTCTTAGCTCAAGTTGTTACAAGAGACTAAACCGGCAGCTTCGGTCCAGAGGTGAGATGGGAAGACACACAGGGTTAGGAGCTGGTTGAACAGACATGGGGAATCGGGTGGAAAAGAGGAGTGTGCTGTCACAGTATGGGGAGAGCAATTAGAGTTACATAATAATGTATGTATAAATTTTTGTATGGGAGACTAACTTGAAACGTAAACTTCATTTAAACTACAACAATAAACAAACAAAAAAGACATAATGGATATTCCTTTGTTTCTTTTCAGGCCACTACTATTCTTACTAAAATTTATTTCATTTTCAAAACATAGACTATGGAAGCTTATTGAATTTCTTAAGCATATATAACCTACTGCCAAATATTATAGTTCAATTCATGTCTTCAATTTTATTTTGAAATAGCAATCAGGAACGTTCCCTTTTAGAACTGTTAACCATGAAAGAAGGCCAGGCTTTACATTAGCATACAATGACAACTACTGGGTTAGGAATTATTATAGTACCAGAATGAAGAGGATTCACTTTCAAGAATGTTATCTACCCTTCCACCTCTTTTCTATTAAGGATTCCATTTACCTCTGGGTTATAATAACGTTGAGTATATGTTAAATCAATAATCAGTCCAAGTTCTTCATTTTGTTCCTGGATTTTGTTTAAAAGATCCAAAGGGGAAAAACATTCTTCTGGAGCAAGTTTCCCTTCAAAACTCTGTCAGAGAGAATGAAATAAGAACGAACAAATGTGTACTTAAAATCCCATATTGTATCATCCATTTAAGCAAGCCCTGTGATGTCAATATACAATGACACTCAAAGAAAAGTTTCCACTCTTCTGGACCTTGCAAGCTAGTTATAACCCTTTCTTCCAGAGAGATCAAAGAGAAGAAAATAAGTTCACTTCTATGTATTTGTTTGTTTCATGTTGGCCTCCCAAAACTCCCAAAACGCAGGGACCATGTTAATTTTGTTCACAACTGTATCTCTAGCTCCAGTGGAGTGCCTGATCAGATTCAATGGTTATAGATACTTCTTGAATGTCTACATATATGAAGGATTGCTTTAATGGATAAAATCTTTTAAATATGTGGCTTACTTCAAGACTTTGTACCCTGTACCACTGATATGTTTGACTATCCAAGTGTCAGCAGCACACTTTTAATACGGTTTAATATCTGGTAGGGCTAGACTCCCCTATTATTTTTATTTTTCAGAATATTCACTATTTGTTTATTTTTCTATATAAGTTTTAGAGTGAGCCTTACTCAGAAAATCCCTACTGCTGAAACAATGTTAAGTTTATAAATTAACTTAGGACAATTTGACAGATTTATGATGTTGAGTATTCCACGTAATATTTTAAGAAAAATTCTGAAGAGTAAATTAATTATAAGAAGGCATACAATCTCTCCAGTCAGTTTCTTGCAAAGACTTGGTGTAGATGGATCAATTTTCATCTCCATCTATCTGAACAATACCAAAAAAACCTAACCCGCAGCCGTTGAGTCGATTCCGACTCATAGGGACCCCATAGGTCAGGGTAGAACCGCCCCTAGGGTTTCCAAGGCTGTAATCTTTACGGGAGCAGACTGCCACATCATTTTCCCACAGAGCAGCTAGTAGGTTCGAACCACCAACCTTTCGGTTAGCAGCTGAACGCTTTAACCACTGCAACCAACACCAGGGCTCCTCAATCTGAATAACTAACCTTAAAAACTTAGTTTAAGTCACAAATCCTCTAGGAAACCTTCCTCAATTACCCATCTGGATAATCAATTTCCCACTCCTCGGAATTCCTATAGTGCTTGTTGCCACAGCATTTATTTGACCCTTACCGTATCATATTTTATATTCCAGTATGCTTGAAAAGTGACCGTCACATAGTGAGGCTACTTTTTCTTGAGTGACTTCCATAAGACACACAAAAATAGGCCCACATTTCACTGTCAAACACTCAGCAACCTAACTCTACTGGGGACAGTTACACGTCTCTGTAATCCTCTTTATGGTACTGTCTTAGTTTGTGAGTGCTGCTGTAACAGAAACACCACCAGTGGGCAGCTTTAAAAAACAGAAACTTAGTATCTCACAGTTCTGGAGGATAGAAGTCTGACTTCAGTGAGTGACTCTAGCGGGAGGTCCTTTCCTTGTCTATTTCAGCTTCTGGTAGCTGGCAATCCTTGTAAATCCATCTGCTGCCACTGTTAGCAGATACAGTCTGTCTTCCCCTATATGTGCTTTCTTCTGTGTCTAATCTGCTCATTTTAGAACTCAGAAATGATCAGGTTTAGGGCACACCCTACACTGATATGACCTCATTAACATAACAAAGATAACCCTATTCCCAAACTGGATTATACAATTCAGTTGTTAACAGGTACCTTAAAGAATCCTGACACTAGGTAACATAACTTGATTGTACAGAACTAGAAGAGGCCTTTAATAATGACAACCTACAGGAAAGATCTGTGGCTATGTGGAGGAAAAGGAACCGAGGCATGTTTCTGGTTTCTCTCCTCTCGCTCGTATACTTTCAGGCAAGGTACTGAGCAGGGGCCCTTCTGAAAGCCCAAGAATCCACTTTTAAGGCCACAAAGTAGGGACCCAAGGAGTTACGAAAACTCCGCTTAGACAGAAGGGATATAGGAGAAAATCCACAATAACTGCAAATGTGGGTGGGAGTCAATTCATTTATTCAACGAAGATTTGTTAAGTATTTATTATGTCAGACACTATGCTTGATGTGGGTGGGTGTGGATGTGAATAAGAACTATGTGTTTATCTAAGTGAAATGACTAATTTTTAAGTCCAGAGATACACACAAGCTGATGCGGCAGGTGGGGAAAAAAAAAACAAAACTGTGACCTATGAGTCACGAATGACATAAATTCCCAGTACATTCAAAGTGGGCTTCTCCTGATACTAATCCACGGTGTGCTGGGCAAGTTTAATGAGCCACGGAATCTAGAAGACAATATTTGTCTTCACCTTCTTTTCTCACCTTTTTTATACCTGTCAGTGCTTTCCCCAAAACCTTTCCTAGTGCAAACAAACACACAACCTTCACAGTTTCCATGCTAAAATCCTGGTCTTGCTGATACAGGGCATTTTTTTTTTGGCTGTGACAATGGGAGGGAAGGGGTGTTACTGGCATTTAGTGGGTGGGGGGTCACAGATGCTAGATGTCCTGTCAAATTCAGACAAGTCCTACAAAATGAAATGTGTCCCACATTCTGAATAACTTTTGAATGTTCAGTTCAACATTCATAACAGGTGAAAAAATGGTTTATAATTATCTAAGCCTTAGAACCTTGCTTCCTTTCACACATAAACACGAAGTATTTTTTTGCACAGTATTAATGTACATTGAATTTTCCAGGACAGTAATAACCTTGACAATCAAGTCAAGATTGTACTTTGTTTTGCTTGGAAATCTACCAAAAACTACTCAATATTATGGTAATCATGTTCACTATTATGGAAAACCACCTATAGGGTCTGAATTTATAGCTCTTGCATTCATGGTGCAAGCAACTATTTCTTTATGTCCAAACATTTACATATGGAAACGCATATTACTTTATTATAAATTACTTTTATTTATTCTTTATATTATATTTATGGCATTACATTGATTTGTCTTTAAAAATTATGAATGGAAGTAGATTATATTTATCAATGAATTTCATCTCCAGAAAGTAAAGCAGGGAGTACAAAGTATTTGCCATAAAAAGGGGAAACAAAGTGTGGTAGAGCAGACCTACTGTTCTACACAGTGAACTCAAATTTCTGAAAGAATATTGAATTAACTCATGGTTACCTTTTTCAAAGGAACTTTGAAAGCAATGAAACGAGTCCCAGGCATCCGCTGTCCAACTGGAAGGTAGTCTTTCCACCTGTTAGATACACGTTGTTAGCCAAACTGTGTTAGCCTTGTCTCCATGCACAGAACGAAAGCTCCTTGGAAGTGGGAATCCCAGCCCACACAGTATTTCCCCTCTTCTCTTGGCTTTGTATTTTTCTGCATTTTTCAACTCCACCTAGTAACAGCCTATGTTCCACCTCTTCCTGTTTCTATCTTGAAAACAGATACAAGGCAACAAAAGTTTAAAGATCTCCATCAATAAGATACATATAAAACCAGAGATGACCAGAATGTCCGTATCCCTGATAAAACAGCCCAGCACTGAACACTAACATGTCATTAATACATACATGCTGACTGAAATAGTTTACATTCAATTCTTGTACTTCACAGTTTATCTTCAGTCCTCATAGAACTGAGGCCATCAAATTCAATCAGTAGAGAACTTCAAGTTCATATTTTAAAAGAAAACCTGATAGAAAAGGGGCTGTGAACTTCACTTAATAATGCTAGGACACACAGTAAAAAGTAAAATTTGAATTGACTTCTGCAGGATGAGTTAGAATTAACTAGGCAAAGATAGGATGTGAAATACGAAGAGTATTTCAAGAAGAAGGAAGAGCACACACAAAAACCCCCAGTCAGTATAAACAAAGCACAGAAAGTGAGAACCAAAGTGGCACAGATGGGGCTGGAAAAGCAGAGAGGATCCTAGACCATGCAGAGCCTTGTGTTATAGGCCATGGTGAGGGGTTTGTTTTTCTTCTTTAAAAAAAGAAAAAGAAAAAAAAAATGGTAAGCTATGAACAAAATTCTAACTCACCTATTAAAAAAGAGTTCTTGGGCTCTGGTGTGACCAGTGAATCGGAAGGACCCTACAGTGGACATACGGACACTAGTTAGGGCCCAATAGCAACAGGTCAGGCAAGACCTGCACTCGGGTGCTGATGTGTCCAGGGAGAGAAGCTGACGGATTCAACAGATCTTCAGGAAGAAAATGAAGGGGCTTCGTGAGACGAGATGCGGGAGAGGAACGTCTCCAGCAGTGAAAAAGAGTATACTGCACGTATGGGCAAAGTCTCAAAATTAATCATTTGAAGGTCACTGAGGAAGATCTCGCAAATGAGACCTGTTAGGAAGTAACAGCTCGCCCTTTGTGAGTCCTGGAAACAATCGAAACTAACTTTCGATGGAAGATCTGGGGGAAGTACCAGGGGGTTCTTTCACTCAACCTTAGTTATAACTCACATCTTTTGTGCCAAAATAACATAACCTGAGGACTTGCGGGGGTCCAATTTTGGGAACCAAGGAATGGCCCATCTTAGAGCAGTCCTGTATCCAGCCCGAGTGGCAGTGGCCACAGCCTCTTTTAAGAGGATGGGGAGAAATTACACAACATCACAGACACTGTCCACTCCAGCTACTAAGCAAAGAAAGGGTCGTGTTTCTAAGTAAGAGGCGGCCGAGCCCAGCGCGCAGCGGTAAGAGAAGCGGAGACCTCCAGAAATGAAGCACGGGCCCAGAAGCTGCGCGCTGAAAGGGCCAAGCCCTGGGTCAAGGCATATTACCTTTCGGGGATGTGGTTTTTGCCCTTCTTTTTGGATGAGGAATGTCCAGAAAACGCGCGTCCCCGACCCCAGTCGCTGCGGGCATGATGCCAGTGGCTCATGTGGGCCCCAAGAAGGCGCCCACCCAACGCCAACAGTTCCCCAAACGCCAGACCCTAGACGTCGGTGCTAAAATTAAGATCCTGAACCGGAAGCGTCCAGGCACCACCCAGGCAGCTTCTAGGCTCCTTGCTACTGCGCGTGCGCCGTTGCACGTCGTGCTAGCGTCACCACGCCGGCTTCCTGGAAAACTTGATTAAATCGTCAACAGGACTTAGGAGGCTGTAGTGCCCTTCTTAGGCCGTGGCTGGTGGCACAGGTCGATGAGTTTGTATCCTTTAGAATTCAAGTAGTGCAGGACATGGAATGAAAAGTTCAGTCCCACTGCCCCCACTATTTTCAAGGTATTTTCTAAGTGCTTACATTCACACTTATTGTTTAATATGTACAAATATTTACTTTCACATATATGTACATCATCTGTTTTTACACAAATAGCAGCATACTGTACATATTCTACAATAAGTCTTGGGCAGTAATTTTCCCAGTCAATTTATATATACATCCATTCTATTCTCTTTAATGGATGCAAAGTATTCCAATGATTATAAGTGACATAATTAAAAATACTATACTTTACTTAACCAGTCCAATATTGATGGACCTCTAGTATTTCCAGTTTTTTCACCCCCACTTTTGTTGCAGACAATGCTGCAATGTGAACATCCTTATCTATATATATCGTTATATCCAAATTTCCAGAATTTCTGGAATGACGGATATGCAAACTTAAAATCTTAAAATTTTGAAAGATACTGCCTAATTACCCTCCAAAAATGATTGTATCAACCTACATTTCCACCTACAAACTTTTATTGGGTTCCTACCATGTGCCAGATATCATGCTAGAGACTGAAGGCATGTACCAAAAAATAGGTGAGAGAAATAAGGGTGGCGATCAAGTCCAAGATTTCTACACACTATCAGTTTTTCAAACAGGATCTGCACCTGTTAGAAAAACTCTGAATTCTGCTACAAAGGTCATCATCTCCTACAGTAGGTCTGATGACAGAATAGAGTACTAAATTCCAGATTAAGTTGTAGATAATTATGATAGCTAATTAAAATAACTTTTTGTTTCTAATTTCTAAAAGTACTTTACATACATTGTTAGTAATCTTCACAACCATTTCGGAGCTGGCTAAACTGAAGCTCAGAAAGGTCTGAATTATTGAATAAATGAATGAATGGGAAAAAAGATCACTAGCTTTAACATTTCTGAGATAGTCATATTCTGACCAAGTTTCAGTCCACAAGAATTTACAATTCTAAAACTTTCACATAATTAAAAATGGGTCAATGCTAATAAATTGCTAATTGGAAAATTAGCATATTTTAGTACCACATAGTACTAACTTACATTTAGGCACATCAAGTTTGATGCTAAATCATAAAATACTCTTTTGGAATTTATGAAATAAATATCCAATAGACATGTAATAGCCAAAAGCGCAAATGGTACAAATGACTATGTTCCTCTTGTTATGTGCCGTCAAGTTGATCCCGACTCATAGAGACCCTATAGAGTAGAATAGAACTGACCCATAGGGCTTCCAAGGAGTGGCTAGTGAATTTGAACCGCTGACTTTTTGGTTAGCAGCTATAGCTCTTAACCACTGTGCCACCAGAACTCCACAAATAACTATAGACATGACAGTACACAAAACGTGACATAAATCTACTCAAAGCTAAGAAAAGCTACATTGATCTTCCACTTACAGTTTGCTAAAAGACACAAGCTTGGGGTGGGAACAAACTCAGTTATAGTAGACACAGAAAGTCCAGACCTAGGCAGAACAGGATTTCCAGAAAGAATGGGAACTAGCAAAGACTAAGCTTTTGGACAGGAGTGGGCCCAACATGAAGTAAAACAGCGTCTTGACAGGCATGTACTATGCTGAAATTGAAAACGTATGAACAAGGGATATTTGGAACACCAAACAGTTAAGTAGTTCACACTAACAAAACTACCAGTATCTGACAGGGCTCCAGGTATCATATGGGAGTTTGAGGGACTCCTCTCTTTAATAAAAGCAAAAAGTGGCAATGGGGAGAGTAAGGAAGAGCCTCATAAGTTACACCAAGAAAAGTCCCAGTTATCCTAATGGATACAGAATGCAGGCACTGAAATTGTAGTAAAAAGACTAGACAAAGAATGGCCCCCGGACTCTCTGTCAACCCAGAAATAAAACCATTCCTAAGGCCAACTCTTCGGAAAAGGATTGGACTGGACTGTGGGACGTAAAATGATACTCGTAAAGAGTGTGCTTCTTAGCTCAACTAGATACATAAGACTAATGGGCAGCTTCTGTCTGGAGGTGAGATGAGAAGGCAGAGAGGGTTAAGAGCTGGTTGAATGGACATGGGAAATCAGGGGTGGAAAGGAGGAAAGCACTGTTGCAGTATAGGAAGAGCAATTAGGGTCACATAAAAATGTATGTATAAATTTTTGTATGAGAGACTAACTTGAAATGTAACTTTCACTTAAACTACAATGAAAAAAAATTGGCAAAATGCAGGCACTGGGACAAGACACCATCCTAACTATGAGAATAGAGGCTTTAGGTCAGGGTAGGACCTGATGTTGAGTTCCAGAATGTAGAACTAAAGTCTTTAGGTCCTTCCTCCTACATGTAATACAGATTTATTTGAGAGGTTAAGATAATGCTGAGCCTGCAAGCTCGAGGCTGGTATCTAGAACTATCTGGAGAAAATAGTTACAGAGGTTGGGGCCCAGGAGAGGCTTAACTATATCTGGGATAGAACCGAATGTTGGAACTGAATATTTCAATATGTAAAGATTTCACTGCTACCAGAAATTTTCCCCGGCACCCACGATCTTACACCACCCATCCTAACCCATAATACCTATGGCTTCCTTTGATTTCCATGGGAACATAGATAAAAGAGAGACTGGTCTGGCTTGCAGATATTTAGTATGTGTTGTTAGCTTCACATTACATACTACTATCATGTAAGTAGGCCATCTGAAGTACTATGCTGAGTTCAAAGGGAACAAACCTTGGAATATTTATGTAGCCTGAGCCATATCTCTACACTGCAATACTTCACACAATTTCCTCCCAGAGAAGCATCACTCCCCATCACTGAAACAACTCCTAGTAAGCACTAGAAGCATTTTCTGAAGAGATATGGGAAAAGAGATCTATAAATGTAATATTTGTCTTTAGAGGTCCCATCCATGAGTTTATATTCTTGTGGGCTCTTAGAATCTTCTATCACACACCACCCACACACTGGCACTAGAGAAGTCCCCAAATAGATCTAAACCCATTCTTGTCGAGTATTCCGACTCATAGCAACCCTATAGGACAGAGTAAAACTGCCCCACAGAGTTTCCAAGGAGCAGCTGGTAGATTTGAACTGACAACCTTTTGGTTAACAACCAAACTCTTAACCACTGTGCCACCAGGACTCCCAGATAGATCTAGGCATTCCTAAAAAGATTACCATCAAGGGAAATGTTTAGATCCATAGGTTTCCTTCCCCAAACCAGCTGACTCCACATATAAATCATGAGCCACCAAGTCCTAATGTACTTTATGACAGTCACAAGAGAAGTTAGTGAGAAATGCACCAACCAGGGAAACAAAAACAAAGCAGGAACCTACAGACTGGGAAAAAATTTTTGGACAGTACAAGTCAGACAAAGGTCTAATCTCCATAATCTACAAGAAAATCCAACACTTCTACACCAAAAAGACAAATAATCCTATTAAAAAATGGGCAAAGGAAATGAACAGACACTTCACCAAAGAAGAGATTCAAATGGCCAACAGACACATGAGG